CAACATTACCAAAAATCACCAGGGTTTTTCAACATAACAGACTCCTGTTGGGGTTAGGGCTTGGTGCTGATTGACTTTTTTGTGCGTCCTGACCTGCTGCACATCCCCAGCGAATCTTGTCAGTGTAGGTGAAACAACCTTCCGACAAGAGTCAGTTGAATGCAAAAAACTCGCACCCTTTTGGGTGCTCGGACCCTAATGAAATAAGATTTTTCCCGTCATATGAATGTTTATGTGTAGCCAGTTTTCACAATAATTTTATAATACATTTTTTGATTTAAAAAACAAAACAAAACAAAAGACACCTGCCAACAGTTTGGTTTGGCAATCCAGTGTAGTCAAGGATTCAAATTAACTCAGTTTAGAAAAAGTGGAATACATTTTTTGCCCTCAAATGTTTAGAACTTCAAAAGAAATATTCCAATTTCTATTTTATGTAATTTCACATGCAGTTAATCCTCAAGATTTTCATACCTATGCCAAATTTCACTTTACAGTAAACTGTTGTTTGACCAACAGGTTCGTCTAGCTGGAAAGACATAAACAACTGACAAAAGACAGCAAGATACAAGTACAAGTGAGCATTTGCAAAATCCAGAGAAGTGTTTGAGAAGTGGAGTCCTCCTTGGTCAGCATTCGTGGAAACCGGCCTTGTTTCGTGTCTGATTGTCAGGATGGTCTTGGTGGTGATTCTTGGATTCTTCTTGGCCTCTCACACAACAGTTCTTGGTCACTTCTGGCTTTCACATTGTGGAAATCCTTTTTTTGCCGTTTCCCATCTTGTGAGCAGCATCAGCTCTTTAGTAACAGCTCAGCGACTGCTTTGGTTTTAGGTCCAACTTATGATTGACTAATGCGTAGACGACTACTGTGTCAGCTGCTCTCTGTTTATAGTGAATGAGAACGATGGTAGAAACTACATTTTATCAAAACTGATGTCAATTTCTAAGGAGATGAACAATGTTGGACATGGCATTTAAAAGGTAAGAGAGAAAAACATCTGTTAAAATCTATCATGAACATCTTTAACACAATTTCTTACTTTCTTGAGTTTATGTCATTTCCAGCCAGAGGTAAGCTACAGGTGCAATAAAACATCACTACAAACCAAACTGTGAATCCTTGGCCCTGGTGAAAGGTTTGAAAGAGGAGCGCTGCTGTTACCTCCTCCAACCGCTGGATGGCGCGACCGTGACGCCATCAACGCGCGCCGTCAACACGCCAGCCTCCACGACCTTCCATGTAGCCTCTGAGCTCCCGTTGATAATGTTCGTCCCTAAATGATTTAACAGGATATTAACTGAAAACTGAACCGAAATGCTTCGACTTTCATTCGTAGTTTGTGGCAGAGGAGTCGCTAAACGGGTGAGTGACTTCAACCGAGCATGGACCAGCTAGCGGTCCATCAGCTGCACACGGTCACGTTATAACATCAGCTCGGACTCAGAATGTCCACTTTATTCATATTAGGTGTGTCGTGATCAGTCTGCACACGCAGCGTGAAATAGAGCTGAACCTAACTGTTGTTTTTAGGCAAAATATTGTTCCGCATCTTTAAACAAGGTGACTTCGGCCCCGTTTCCACGCAGCAAAAATGGTGATATTTCAGTGGGCCTTTGGTTTACACTTAAATGAAGCTACAAGTCATCGAAAACGATCACATCTGAAAAGATCTGGAAAAACTCCGTCTTTACGTTTGCATGTAGACAGGAGGAGACGGAGGTGACGTCACAATATGCGACAAAAGCACCATTCGCGTCATATGTGTGCGACCATGTTTACAGTTTGGCTCATAGATATGTATAATACAGGCCTTAATTATACATATGGATGGTTTGGCTACTGTGATAGAAGGTCAGTATTTTTGAAACCAGTGGTTAATGTAATATTCTCAGCCTTCCTAACAGATATCATCTTGTTGTTGATATTGTTTTTTTTGTCATTTCCGTCATGCTCTAGTTGTTTCTTCTCCTCCTCAGTTCGCCTCGTCGTTCTCTGGTGAAAGCGCTCTGCCTCCAAATCTACTGCTGCCCACCAACCTCGTGGATCCTTCCAGATTAAGTAATTCTGAAACTTGTAGCTCCTAAATGAAATGCAGTCATTTTGTGTTTAAAATAAAATCAGCCTGTATATTTTAACATTACACTCAAATGTATTTGTCCTCCGAAATGTTAAATATTATTTTTTTTCCTCAAGAGTTTTTGTCTGGCTGTAGCGTGTATATCTGGTGCAAACTGAACTGTCACTGAATTCCTGCCACAGTGAGTGTCCATCACTGACGGGTCTCTCGTGTCCTCCTGCAGAGCGTCCTCCTCCTCCTGCTGACTGCTCGCTGCCTCTGCTGAGGAAGTGCGATGCCGTCGTTCCCGCTCACCTGAGACCCGTACAGAGGTGGGTGGAGACTCTGGAGAAACAGGACAGCGACCCAGTAGGCTTGACTCAGCTCCACCCGGATGTCTTTGCTGTTCCTCCGAGGTAAAGCGGAGCGTTTCCGAGCTGCATCTTGCAGAACATTTACTGGAAAATTCAATCCAGGCTAAACAGTTCTTTGTTCTCTTTCCACAGGCTCGATATTCTACATGACGTTGAAACGTGGCAGAGAAATTACAAAAGAATCGTAAGTAACTGATTTAAACAGAAAATAAAATCTAAGTAGTAGTTTTACAGTGTTTAGTGATGAAACCAGTGCCTCATATTTTGGCAGTTTAAGCTTTGTCTTGTAAAACAAATAACATCGTGGTAACATTTCTGGTGGGTAATATATTAATGCAGTTACATCATTTGGCTTTTTAAAATATGGGGAAACTATGGCTTCACTTCCTTTTTAACCCTCTGAACTCCCAGCAGTCTGTGGTTGTTTGTCACATTTTTCAGTTTTCTAATATTATTTCAATTCAACTGTGTGGATTTGGTCGTATGAAACTTCAGTAAACATCCTGAAAAGCTCCAACGATGAACGAAACTTAGTCAGATTTAAAGAAATGCAAAATTGACTTGACTGACTTGATTTATTTATTTATTTAACATGAATTGCTGTTTAAAAGACCGTGGATAAGCAAATAAAGATAAATGTACAATTATAAGACTAATTGTCGTCTTTGTCTCTCAGAGTTATGCCAACACAAAGACCAGAGCAGAGGTTAGAGGTGGAGGTAAGAAGCCCTGGAGGCAGAAGGGAAGTGGAAGAGCTCGCCATGGAAGCATCCGATCACCCATCTGGAGAGGAGGTGAGTCTTAAATGTTTTAAACCTTGGTGTTTGATCCGCCTGTGTCCAGGATTGTGTTGTTTTTGTGTAACTGAAACTGATCATCTTGTGTCACAGTCAAATACAGCGCCGCCCTTTAAAAGCACACCACACAGCTAAAGCCTGTCTGATCACAGGTCACTGAAACAGATTGATGTTCCTCCTGCAGTTGTTGTGCTTGTGAGCTACTGTCCTGCAGGTTTTAGACGTTTCCGTACTGCAACACACCTGTTAATGGATCATTAACAGACTTGTGTAGAACTTGACAACAAGCTGTTGGAGATCCATTAATGTGAGTCAGGTGTGCTGCAGTACAGAAACATCTGAAACCTGCAGGACTGTAGCTCAAGAGGACCGGAGTTGGAGATCCCTGATCTGGACTGATTCACATGCTGGAAGTCGGTGAGTCTGACAGGTGCTGTGTTTTTCTCAGGTGGGGTGTCTCATGGACCCAGAGGGCCCAAGAGTTACTACTACATGTTACCCATGAAAGTTCGAGTGCAAGGACTCAAAGTGGCGCTGAGCTCCAAGATGGCTCAGGTAACGGAAACCTCGACATGTTTGAGTTCTAAAAACCCAGCTGATGATGGGAATATAAACATTTTGTGGTTGGAAGAATAGTGAGTGAGATACATTCGTCCTCAGATGTATTCATAGCTTCCTGTTAAAGAAGGAAAAATAAACAGCTGCCACTGAAATAAGTTGAAACTGACAAAAGTAATAATAAATAAAAATGTCATGAACATCATGACATTGCTTTTGAATTGTGGTTCAACAGAGATATATATTTATATATATAAAAACGGCAACAACAAGCAGCTAATCATGATTTCTTCTTTTTTGTGGGGGTTTTTTTTTTTTTTTCACCCCCATTTCAAAGCAACGTCTTATTTCACTAAATTCTAATTTAACAATTTTTTATTTATTATTACTTTTTTCAGTTTCTAGTTATTTGAGTGTGAATTTTGCCTTTTCTTTAATGGAAGGGGATGAATACATTTGAGGACGACTGTAGCAGCATACTTTTCTTAAATACCTTTTTCTTTACTATGGATTTGAACTGCTTCTTTATGCAGGACTATCTTTACATCGTGGACTCCCTGAACATCCCCACACCGGACTCTCAGTACCTGCTGGACCTCATCAGACACAGACACTGGGGAGAGTCCGTGTTAATAGTTGACATGTGAGTATCTCCAGCACAGTAAAGGGGCAAATGAATTTTAATGTTGCTCTGTGGTTTGTTCAGTGCTGAGTTTTGTGTTGTCACTTTTAGAGGTGAAGAGTTTCCTGAAAATCTCCTTCAGGCCACGGCGGACTTAAAGACAGTCAACGTTATTCCAGCCATCGGTGAGTTAGTCCTCATTCACTCTGGATTCAACAGATTCGTTTGTTTTAGTTTGAATACATTTTGGGATTAGTTCTTTCTTACATTCAATTAACTCTTTGTGATGCTGGAGCTACCAAATTATTTAATTACAGTTTCAGTGATATCATTTGCATCATCAAATTAAAGTTGTCAACTCTATGAAAAAGCTCGTTGCTCAACAATCATTATTTTAATATTTACCTCTAACATGAGCTGTTAAATCATCAGACTGAGCAAGTTGAACCAAAGCATGCACACATTAACCACAGGGTTTAGGTTTCTCTTGCACACATGATCGGAGATGCCCTCCAAACAGGTTTTAGCCAGCAGCAAAAGTACATCACCTGTGGCAAAACGGAGTTGATAAGTTTTGAAGTTTTGTTAAATTTGGTTTCGTGGTCATAAATTGCTTAGATTTCTGTCAAATAAGGCAACACAGACCCGTTGGCTTTACTGTATGTGGAGGACAGATCCGACCCATTCTGATCCAGGAAAAACCCTGGTGCTGTATGTTGACCAATAGGCGAGTATAAAAAAACAATTAAACAACGAATTAAATTAATTTTAAAGAAATAAAACTGAATCATAGAATTGGTCCTGTTATTCAAAAACCACCCTTAATATGTCGTTAATTTCTGGATCGTTCTCCTCATAACAGCTGTCTCATTCAATCCAGTGTAACGCTGTGACGACAGAGGCATGGCGTTTACCTTTTACACAAGTGGAGAATGTGTGTTTGACTCTCGTCTTTTTCCTCCGCCAGGTCTGAACGTCCACAGCATGCTGAAACACGAAGCCGTCGTCCTCACTCTGGAAACAGTCAAGTTTCTGGAGGACAAGCTGCTTTGGCACGACCAGCGCTACACACCTCTGTACCCGTTTAAACTGCCCTACTCGGATTTCCCTTAGAAGAAACGACTCGGGCCGAATGTTGTCTTTGTGTTTATTATGTATAACAACCAAAAAAAGTCATTAATAAATAATTCTATTAATAGAAAACAATGCAAATTTTTAATAAAAATGTCAAAAAAAGACGAGTGTGCAGAGTGTAAGGCCTAAAATCGATAGCTGAACTTGTGGGGAAGGAGCCCGTTGGCTAAATCATTCCTGATCTCCCAGCGGAGCGCCGAGCGCTTCTTCTCTGTAGGCACAACGTAGGTGTTGGGCAGGTAGACTCTCCGAGGTTTAGGCTGCAAAACAACAAGACAAAACTTAAGCTGCTTTGACAGTAAAGTGTCTTCTACATGCTACAGCTGTGGTCCACACAAGTCAAACGGCAAGACCTGACCAAGCCAGCATGTGACCCCAGTGGACGCTCGCTGTGAGCTCTTGTGCACTGCTGGAGCTGATCAGTCTCAGGCCTCAAGGCTTGTTAAAGTGCTTTTTCTTTCATTAAAACACAGTTCGTCTTTGTTGTCCAGGTAAAAATGTTTGAAATCTTGTTCTACTTTGCCTTAAAAGTAATTCAGACTGTTAGCACCTGTCCCTTCTGTACCTGTTGTTGATGCATGTGCAGGTGTATTTGCCAGGTTGGCATTTTGAATAATGAAAAAGAAGAACATTACAAGTGCTGTTTGTATTCAGAGTCCGTGGAGCAGAGCAGAGTGGACTCATGGAAGTCTCACATTGAAAGGACAGCAGCTATCGTTTTACACAGACTGAGGTGCTGCACGGTCAGTATGAGATAAATGATGCAGAAATAATGTAGCGACACTGAAACAACCCGGTGACACAACACCTGAGATCTAATTCAAGTTTCTCTGCTCGCCTGCGTTCGTGTACTTGTTTGGAATCATTTACAGCCTTAGTGCAGATGTTTGGGGAGATTTTTTGTACCAAAGCACTTTCTGAAAAAAAAAAACATACTTCATCATAAAGTTGTTTCAAATGCAGCATTAAGGAAAAAAACACTCACTGGTGGAGGCTGGTATGCAAGCTGCTCCTGGAAAAGAGAACAAACAGAAACATGGTCAAGCATTAAGCGATGCTAACTTGTCAGTTCAGCATACTGCAGCGACATTGTGGCTACAGAGAGAGAACTCAGTAGAGAAACATGAATTTTATCAATGAAATCTATTTTTATAAACCAAGCCTTCTAGGTACTGGAGAAGCTGTATATTTGTGTCTCATCCCACAAGACCAACAAGGTAAAGATGGAAAAAGTATGACTGAGGACTGTCACATGAGGTCGTACCTTTATCTCCCAGCGGAGAGCTCTCCTGTCCTTCTCTCCTGGAAGTTTGAACATTTCCCAGAATTGTTTGTATTCGAAATATCTGAAGAGACGAGAAAACCACACAAACCAGTAAACTGTTAAATCAGCATCACCATGAACCTGATGGGAATGAAAATCCTTCAGTTTGAACGATTATTTAAACTTAAAGGTGGAGTCTGCAAATCTTGAGTAAGCTTGACACCGCTTGATCCTCACTGGGGTGGTGGGGGGCTGGAGTCTGTCCCAGCTGACTCAGGGTGAAGGCAGGTTCACCTGGACAGGTAACCAGTCTATCACAGGGCTACACTTAGAGACAGACAACCAAGCACACTCACATTCACACCTACGGACAATTTACAATCACCAATTAACCTCAACATGTTTCTGGACTGTGGGAGGAAGCCGGAGAACCCGGAGAGAACCCACGCTGCACGGGGAGAACATGGAGACTCCATGCAGAAAGATCCCGGGTGTCCTCACCAGGATGCGAACCGGCGACCTTCTAGCTGTGAGGCGACGATGCTGACCACCGATCCACCTTGTTACTCATCTCTTTCTCTATCCTCTGCACGAGCATGAATGTACATCGGACATGCTGCAGTAGTGTTGTGGGGATCAGTTTGTTCAATATTTTGAGTGTATTGATTCAGATAACTGACTCTACCTTTAAGTATCTCATCCAGTGCTTTACAATTTTAAGGCATTCTCACATTTGTTGGTTTTCCTTCATCCAGGTTTAAGCTGCCTGAACATTTGTCTGGTATCAGATACACAACCAAAGGAACCAAACCCAATCCCAATGAGTTTAGAGAACCCTAATAATTACAAAAAGCACTGGTGGAAAATGTTAGAAAAGGAACTAATAGGACTTTTTCAGGACTCCACAACAGATTTGAGCTTTTCTCTCATAACTTACTTGGACACTGGGTCAGTCTTCTTTATGGATTGTTGACCCACCGCTGGCCGGATGACTGAAACACATTCATGTGACGGGTTACATGATGTTTTGTTCAGTGTCAGCATGAAAACAATGATTAGTTGTGTTTGACTGCTGTTGACTCACAGGATTTGGGTTTGGGCCTAAAGGCAGCGTCACTCTGAGTCTGAGTCTGTCCCAAAGAAAATGACAGTGCAGTGATTTTCAATGAAAGGGGAATAGAAATGGCTTCATACAAACAAACTGCAGTTCTGATCTTAACCAACACCAAATGTAAAAGCTTCCTGGCAGATAACATTACTCACCATTCCTCTGATGTACGATTCAAAGGCGCTCAACGAGATGCCGTCACTCTGGGAGCTCTGGGAGTCGCTGCGATCGCTCGTGTCTTCATGTTCTGCCTCGATGTCCCGTTGAGCTGCCGGGGACAAATGAAGATCGGCCAGACGCTCCTCCAGACAGCTCGCTGCATCTGCAAACAAACAAACCAAACCTTTTAGTCCTGGATGTTTGAGCCTCGGGCTGCAGAGCCACGTATGCTCAGAAGCTGATGATAGGAGACGTTATTCTGGTAGATTAATCGTAGCAACTGGACTCGCTTGAGTTCCTTGAAGACGTTCCACCTCTCATCCAAGAGGCTTCATCAGTTCTGACTGACTAGTTGGGAGTTCCAGATGCTTATATCCTTAAGGAGCCATCCAGGATCTGGATCTCCCAACTAGTCAGTCAGAACTGACGAAACCTCTTGGATGAGAGGTGGAACGTCTTCAAGGAACTCAAGCAAGTCCAGCTGCTACGATTAAAGTACGAGAATAACCACGACCTGGAGGACTGAGGATCTTCACAGACATGACAGGAGACTGTTTCTGATTTTTCTCCTGAAAATGGAAAGTTTCTTTGAGTTTAAGTTTAGAGGATGTAACTGCAATCCTGGTCCAGCAGATACTTAAACTTAGTCTGATGTGGGATTTTCTTTTTTAGAGAACTAGCAGATATCTTGAATACAGAAATAAAATAGAAAACATTTGCATATTTACAGATTCCGGTTATTTTCTTTTAGCGGGGTAGACAACGCAGGGGTCATTTTAATGCCCCTATAATGTCAAAATGAGGGTTTTTGGCAACTTTTAGGTTTAAAGGAAAAGCTGATTGTTGTGCTTTTATTTGTAAAAGCTAATTTTCAAGTGAAACTTAAAGACACATTTATATTTCAGTAAAAGTCCTTCCCTTATATAATGGTACATGTCAGACAAGAATCATCTGCTTCATTGCATTGCTTCTCCTAGAAACAGAGCCACACAATTTAATTTCCTCCATTTTAAATATGCGACAAATCTACGATTTTGGGACGAGAGATGTTTACCAAGTGTTGGGACTCAGGTTACAGAAACTGTGTTCAATCCCAACAGCCCTGTCTTCTACAACAGTGACTTTATTTTGAATTTTAAAAGCCTTTTTAATGAGCTTACACAAAGGGAACATGGATGTTGCTGCTCTAGAGACAGAAACCGTTTACCCTGCTTCTGTCTGAGGTTTCCTTCCCACTCCACACACATCTTATCATACGTCGTCCAGCTGAAATCCGCTTTGGAGTCAATGAACTTGATGTCTTTGTTGCTTGAAGACTCGTCCGGATCTTCGGACTCTGCTTTGTCCTCAACTTCTCTCTCCGTATTGTTCAACTGATGAAGGCCCTGCACCTCCTCTTCTTGTCTTTCGCCTTCATTCAGATCATCTTCCAAACGCTTCTCATCCAACAGAAGCTTGCCTTCAGGTTTCTCTGCTGTTGTGTTCGTCACTTCATTGTCGGACGCTGGGTGCAGGTCTGCCTCACGTTTCTCCTCATCTGCCTGCTCCTCCTCATCCTCGGGCTTCATGTCAGTGACGCTGATCTCTTCGTGTGGGCCATCTTCTACGCAATGCGCTACGTTAGCTACAAGTGTTTTGTCCTCTAACACACACACCGGAGACTCACTGAGGTATGGCTCATGTGTAGGTTCAACATCGAACTCGCCAAAGCTGCCCAGTGACCGATCGTCCTCTTCGTCATCTCTCACCTCAGACAGATCCCCTCGACTGTCTTGGTCGAACTCTGTGATGGTGTGGTCATCTCTGTATTCTCCTCCTTCCTGCTCCTCTGGTCGGTAAGTGCCATAGCCAGAGGTCATCAGACTTGGAGCTGGACTATCTGGACTGTTGCTGCAACTTTTATCATCGCCATCCTCCTTCTCCTGCTCCTCTTCTTCTTCCTCCTCCTCCTCCTCAACATCATCGCTATCCTCCTTCTCCTGCTCCTCTTCCTCCTCCTCAACATCATCGCTATCCTCCTTCTCCTGCTCCTCTTCCTCTTCTTCTTCCTCCTCCTCAACATCACTGCTACTTTCCTCTTCCAAAGCTTTGGTGGTGAGGTTCTCCCGGTCGGGTAGCTCAGGCTTTTCCACCACAGAAGTCTGTTGAAGTGAGTCCTCTGCATCGTCGACAGGTTTGGAGTCGATCACTCCCTCAATCTCCACCTCCTCTTCCTCTGGTTTATCTCCATCAGACCAAAAAGAGGAGTTAAGAGAGTTCTTGTCGTCCTCAGTCTCGTCGTCCCATTGCGTGTTGTACATTTTGTACATGGTGGCGACTTGCACTCTCGCTGAGGTGTGTGCAGTGTGTGATCTGTGGAGGCAGATGGCTTAAGGAAGGAGCTAAGAGGATTAGCTGATAACCAGGAGCCTCGAAAGCTTCTTCTCCCTGCTCAAACAGCTCCTACTGCTGGTGACCAATGGAGTTACATCTCTAAATTAATTCAATTGTCTCCTTGTTTCTTTTATTCACATGACTGTGAATGGGTTTTACAATTACAATAAATTTGTTAATTATTAGTTTGTTAACTAATAATTCGTTATTTGATTAGATTTTATAATTTGTTGATGTTAATATGCTGCCACTCTTTAAAAGCGGTCTAAATGAAAATTATTGTTGCTGTAGAACAAAAGCGTCGAAGCAGATGATCGCATGACCCTGAAAACATTTCTGCAAATACAGCTACTGTTACCTGAGTCTTCGCTGTAGACGGATTCATCACAGACAAACGACTGCCCTTTATGTTTCCTGGAAAAAAAAAGACATAACCATCAGCGTTACACTTCCTTTTCACAAGCTATGCATCACATTTCCTGTTTTTGTAAACGACTGCAGAATGTATTAGATTTTTTTTTAATGCATTAATCACAAATAATAACTTGGATAAGTTTGCAAATGTCTGTCATAAGTCAAAATAGAAAACAAATTGTCAGCGCTACAGTACTGAAGTATTTCAATCACTACAATCACTATTCAAACCTTTTGATTTCTTGGCCTACAATTTAGAAAAAAAGTGTTTAGTATGGTATCTTAACTAAACAAGTAATCAATTAAAAAATATATCTGACAGATTATTAATACTAAAAATAATGATAATCAGATGCATCCCAACTGACAGCCTGATCTCACGTATGTGTCTCTGTAGATATGAGTCTTACGACTACCTCAGGACTTTCCTCTTGATGAAGTGTCTCCCCTGGGTGTCTGGGGAAGACACGTAGCTGTCGTACAGCGTTGAGTGCAGAGTGTCCTCAGGATCTGTCTCCACCTGCAGCCTGCTCGGAGCTCCTGGAGGGAGCTGCAGCTTTGGAGCCACCGAGTGCTGAGCGTACGAGTCATAGCATCCCTGCTGCCGTCCATAGTCTCTGTTCTGACAGGTGGTGAGCACCTATTTCACATTACGAAGATGAGGTAAGATGCCTTTATTGTCATTTTATTCATAAAACAACAAATTTACGAGTGCTCATTAAAATCATGAAGCATCCTGTTCAATCCCACATCACAATCATAAAAACCCTACGACACAGAAACGTGAACGTTATCACTGCTGTTGACCAGCCGAGACCAACGAAACTTGTTTCAAAGTGAAGCACTGATGGTTGGTACAGCGGATTTTTGGATGTGGTGTCATGTAGACTACAGTTGGCCCATGATCAGCAATAATATCCAACAACACAGACGTCCTGTACAAGAAGGGCCAAAGTTGTCTCCACCTGCTGAGGAGACTGACGTCCTTTGGAGTGTGCAGGACTCTGCTCAGGGCGTTTTATGACACTGTGGTGGCATCTGCTCTTTTCTATGCAGTGGTCTGCTGGAGAGGAGGGAGCACAGAAAGAGACTGAACAGACTGGTAAGGAGGGCAGGTTCTGTCCTGGATTGCTCCCTGGACCCCACAGATGAGGTGGGTGAAAGGAGGATGTTAGCAAAGCTGACATCCATCATGGGCAACCCCTGTCACCCGCTGCATGAGACTGTGGGGGCTTTAAGTAGCTCTTACAGCAGCAGACTGAGACATCCAGCCTGCAAGAAGGAGCGCCACCGCAGGTCATTCCTCCCAACTGCAGAACGACTTTACAACATCAGCATCACCAGCTGATGTTCAACAAACGGACAAAATTAACACATGGTCGAAATTCACTTTTGCACAGCAAATGTGCACAAGTCTGTTCCTTTTTCAGTGTAAATATTATGTATGTTTTTTTCATTCAATTGTATATTTTGTCATCTTGTGTACATATTTATTTTATTACTTAATTATTGTTATTTTCTTGTACTTTCTTTCTATATTTTGGATGCTGCTGTGGCGTGTAAATTTCCCCCAATGAGGGATCAATTAAAATAATTCTAAGATTTTACAAAAAACAAAACATCTGGTATACTGTGTGGCTACACGTACCTGTCTGTCAGTGTCTGTTTTGCCTGCATGTAAGAAAAATCCTTCGCCGGAGCCTTTAAAGTAGCACTGACTAACTGTGGAGAAAAAACAAATGAATTTCACCAGTTAACACACAAAATGAATGGATGAAAATTAGTTATATTCTTGTTTATTTTAATGAGTTATACAAAATATAAAACACGGTTAATAATATCACAAAGTAGGAGGTTCGACCTAGTATTCTGACCTTTTTCTTTGGTATAGGCAGGAGGACTGGGCTGAGACGTCTGAGATTTGGTGTTTATTTGAGGCACTGAGGCCAGGCTTTTCCACTCTCCACGTCGTATCAGCTCATCGAGGTCTAACACGACACAAAAGGCACAGTTAGGGGTGGTTGGAGAAAGGGAAACAAACGGACGTTTAGGAGACTAACCTTGCTTAAATTCAAGCAGCCGGTGTTGCGGTATGTTCTTGTAGCCGAGGATGGCCAGTTGTTCTTGAATTTCCTCTTCTGAGAAATCCAGCTTGTCCATTTTATCTTTAGCTTCAACTCACAGAGGTAGAATAAAATCTGAATGAAAAGACAGACACACACTGTAGTAAACACAAAGTACCACAAAGACAAGAGGAAAGTGCTGCTTTGTAAAGGAAACCTGCTTTTGTTGTGTTTCGATGGCTTGATGAGGACGTTAATTTTGGGTCTAGTTTCACTAATACCTTGAAGAATATACCTTTGGAAACAGGCATTCTTACTCTAACATTGTTTGATTTGGATTTAGCGTGTTTACAGATTCAGAAAAAGGCGAACTCACTGATAGAAACGGTGCGGACACACTATTAAAATCAACTCTTAGTATGGAGCAGTACAATTTCTGAGCACCACAAACAACTTCTAAACCGACCATAAATAACAGCTATCTGAAAGAGTAACAAAAAAATTAAGCATTACAACCCCTGTAAAGGTAAAATTCTGTATTTCAGGACAGCAGGAATTTGCACAGGTATCCAAACTGAAGACTCAATTAACCGATTTTCAGTAGAGAGGACACATTTAGTCAAATACAGTCGTCCTCAAATGTATTCATCCCCTTCCATTAAGGAAAAGGCAAAATTCACAACAGTCACTCAAATAACTAGAAACTGAAAAAAGTAAGAATAAATAAAAAT